GTCATGCTGATAATATGTTACCTCATCCCAAAAGGATTCTACGACCAGAGTCCTATCTTTATCCAAACACATGGGTGATATAAAATCAATCAAGTTGCAACTTCTAATCACGATAGAACTCTTAGGGATTTCAACAGTATAATCCTATTAGGAATTCACTATCTACCTCTATAAATACATCATTCCAATTTATTATCAATGTACGTTTTTACATAATTTTCAGCACATATATTTTCTCAAATTCTCTCTGACTTAAGTATCAGAAGGGCGACGAGGACACATCTTGATGTCTTTGTTTTAGGTATCGGATTATCTCGTTCATGCTCATTCTCAGTCATCATATTCGGAAACCAACAGGTACGATTTTTGGTAACATCAACTGGAAAACATTATGTCACACTTTTTATATATGTTGTTTTTGCTAATAAAAATATGAAAGGTAAATAAGTCTTTATATGCCACCTAATAGACTTTTTGTATTGAAAGTGCTAATTAATGGAAATTTAAAGAAGAATGTGACAAGAAAAGTTGGAAACATAAGTGATACAATGAACAAATATTTATAATTTCTAATATACCTAAAAATTAGGTAGTTCATCGAGAAAAAGAAAATTATGGTTGTTTGAGCCTCGTTGATAAGAACATGCATTTTGAAATAGTGATTTTTTTGAAATGTGCGTGATTAACAAATAAGGAAATAATTTCATTTTAAGTGTAAAATTATTTTATGAAAAAATATTTGATGAAAAATGAGTTTTTGTAAAAATGGGGGTCAAACATAGATAATTAACAAGACAAATTTCCTTCCAACACGTGCAAGCAAAACCCAACTCAAAACCTGAAAAATTTTGGAAAGTCACAACTAAAGCCATCTTTACCTTAATCGTGGCACAATGATGCCCGATATCATATACCCTCCTCGAATTCATCAAAACAGCTTAAAATTTTCATTCAATCGTAACCGCCAGAACCGCTATTGTAAGCCTTACTAGAACCATCGATTTCGTAACTAGCTCAACATTTATCACCCATTTCCAAGCCCCACAAACACAGGACGGGCATGGTGTACTTGTCGGGTTAAAAAAATGTCACTCAAGTTGGTTTTTAATTTTTTTTTTCACTGAAGTTTTGTTAAAATCTCGATTTAGTCATTGCATCGCAATTTCATCCACAACCAACATTTTCTTCAAGTGGATTTATACGGATTTTATTGGACAGAAAAATAAGTTTGGGGTTAAAGTTTTTTCCTTAAAAGTCACAATTCATGTACAACTTTATCGAAAAAAAAAGGGAAAAAATAAATGACTTTGCTATCTAGACTATTTTGGACAAAATGTTAGTGTTTGAGTCACATTATTTTGGAATAATGTATTCTGGAATAGTAGATTGATGAAGAATGTGTGGTTGAAAAAGAATGAAAAGTTTTCGATGTGATAGAAAATATTATTTTATCGAAAAATATATGGTTGAAAATGAGTAGAATAATGAGAACGAGAATTTTAATGTGTACCAAACAGGGGCTAACTTTTTGAAATACTACAATGACTACTTGCCAACCGTCAAATTTTCATAATAGAACATTTTTAAGTAACTCTTTAAATTTAAGATACTTTCTATTATTGTTTCGCGCATTTTACTCGCTAACAATTAAAAATGGATCAAACGATTGTGTAAGGGACAAATCTCTTGGAACAAAGTCCCAAAAATGGGTATTTATTGAATATGAAGATTACAATTTGGATACGAACTAGATGCCTCAAAGGGACGCAAGCACACAAGTACAAGGAGATGAATTAATTAAAGTTAATCTAAGAAAAGTAAATTACATATT